TGAGTGATCCAGACAGCATACCATTGCAAGGTATATATTCATAAAGGAAAGCAGTGTGATATATAGCAAAATACAAACAAATACAAAGCCTACACTGGGCTGAAGGTAAGGGAAATAGGCCTTGTTTTACTTGGCTCTCCCACTAACTAGCTATATGATCATGGGAAAGTTGTTTAAGTGCTTAGTCTCAGAATTCTTTCCCTTAAAAAAAAAAACACAAGATTTTATCACTTAACAACATTAAAATTCTACGACAATTCAAATTTGTCTAGGGATATTTGAATTTTAAAAAGGAACAAGTGTTTAATGTTCCCCAGTTATCTGGAAAAGGAAAATGATTTTAGGGTGCATTACTTAGAGCTGTGGGGATAGGAGAGGAATTGTTCAGAGGTCTTAAAGTCACCCTTTGCAAGCAGTTGCCAAAACATTTCCACAGAAGGCTGATTTTCACTACCACAACTGCCAAGTGTGGCTCTGAGAAATGCAAAATTATTTTTTGCAAAAGAGGAATGCCATCATTCCTCTTTACTAGTGGACTTTCAGGATTCGTTGTTTAAATAGCCTGAAGATCATCTTTCCTAATTAAATTGGGAAACTATGCTGTAAGAATAAAATGTTTTCCAGCTTCAAACAAATTTCCATTTTCTGAAGTATCCAAACACACTACAAGTTGTTTAATCATAAGGGTTTTCTTTTCTTTCTTTTAATGCGGTTTGTGAGAAGTTGGTGGAAGGCTGTGTTTGGAAGTTGAATGCTGCCATCTGCTGGTTGTCTCTCAGCACTCAGCTGTAGTAGGGAAATCTTTCTGCCAAGTCGACTCACAGCAAAAACCAAACAAATCCCTACTAAAGGTATAAGATGTACAAATCAAAAAGCAACTTAAATACTCTTATGGCTTATTATTTTACCCTCAAATGTGTTTTTTTCTAATATAAGTAAATTCAAAAATTTGTAAAATATGTTAAAGTGAAAGTGGGAAAACACAAATTTCCTGTTGTTCCCAAATTCTAACATGCATTGGATGCATTTTTTCCAATCTTTGTTTATTGCATTTTGGCAATGCTCTTCCATTCAACAAATATTTATCGAACACCTTCTATATACCAGGCACTTTGTTAGGCACTGGGGACAAAACAGTAAAGGAAAAAATCTAGAACGTCCCTACCCTCACAGAGCTTGAATTCAAGCTTCTGGGCAACAACAAACAAATGAAGATATAATTAAAAGTTAGATCATGGTAGCTGATGTGAAGGAAAAGAAAACATGATAAGGGGATACAAGTGATTACAGTGCCACTTCAGATAGGGTGGTCATGGAAGGTCCCTTGGAGGTGGTGGAAAAAGTGACATTTGAGCAGCAATTTAAATGACCAGAGGGAGGAAGCCATGAAAATGTGTTGGGGAAGAGTGCTCTAGGGGAAAAAGTGTCCAAAGCAGAAAGGCAAGTACAAATGCTCTGAGGAAGGAGCGTGCTTACTGTGTTAGAGGCATAGCAAGGAAGCTAGTGTGGCTGGAAAGGTTTGAGGGAGAAAAGAACTAGAAGGAAATAAGATAGGAGAGCACAGCTGGGGATCAATCACAAAGGGGCCAAACCATGTAGAGACAACTTTGTATGTTTTTCCCCCATTTAAATCCATTTCTCATAAAAGAGCTGCATCTTCAAGTATGAGCAGGGTCCACAGTCAGCAAAGGAGGGAAAAAGCATCCCAGAAAGAGACAATACTTACTGAAGCAAAGGCATGAATGCTACAGAGGTTAAGCGCTTGTACGTAAGGGAAAGTTGGGCACTTGTATGCGAGGCCACATCAGAAGAATGAGGACAAGTGGTTGAGGAGAAACAAAGAGAAGTTTATTACTTTGCTGGCAAAGGAGGGAAATGGTAGAATTTCTAGTCTCAAAATCCAAATTCCTGTCCATAAGCCTAACTACAGAGCTTTCAAAGGGAGGGCCTTCAGTTCTAGGCTATTGTCTTATCAGCCCATCTCTGTCCATCTCAGTCTAAGACAAAGACTGTGTCCCCTGCCCACCTGGGAGGCCAGTGCCAGGCCTGGGATGGCTGATCTATCTTTTGTAAGAGAAAGAACACAAAGGACAAAACATATTCCACCCCCCTACCACCCCCTGCCTAAGGCCAGGCTGCAGTTCCCAAAAACAGTGGGGGAAATTTTAAAGAGACAGAAAATATTTTTGCTGTTTTTCTTTTCCTTTAGGCAGTTCCCTGTTATACTGGGACTTGAGAAATTTGGGTTCAAATCCCAGCTCTGCCACTTCCAGTTATATCATGATTGCTGCCTTCCCTAACCAATACACAGATTGTAATCAGTTGGTACGTGATAAGCCCTATCTCTAGGAACCCTCAGATAAGATGAGGATGGCCACACTGATGGAGTGCTGGAGATCCAGCCAAGCAGAGGGTCACCCAACATCCACTATTATTTATTAGATAGAATATTAGAGTAGGAATGTAGTAGAGGGGAGTGAAGGAAAGAGTTTAATACATTAAAAAGTAAGTAGAAATATTGAGACAGATGGAGAGAAGGAGAAAGGGGCTAGGCACTATCATTTCACCTGATCTTGAGTAGGAATTTTGGTTACCACAAAGGAGTAGTATACTGTATAATCTCAAACTTTAGTATGTACCAGAATTCTCTAGAGAGTTTGTTAAAACACAGATTGCTGGGGCCCATATCAGAATTTCTGGTTCGATGGACCTCTGGTGAGGTCTGAGACTTTGCAAGTTCCCAAGTGATGCTGATAATGCTGGGCTGAAGACCACACTTGGAAAATTAATGCTATGATTGGTGGAGGCTAGGGTTGGTGAGGCAAAAATAGAAAATGCAGTTTGCCTGTTTCTGCCAAATGGCTAGAGTGCTAATACTGCCAAATGGCTAGAGTGCTAATCTCTGGGCATTGTCCAAACTGATCATTTGTGCTCCTGTACGTGTAAAGTTATTCAAGATAGAGAGGGAGAGGATGGCGAGTTATTAATATATGGCTGCTGTTTAACATAGAAAAAAGACCATTTGAAGCTTGCAAAATATTGCTAGGTTCATTGCCTTATCATGTCTCTCATTACCTGTTATTATCCATCAGCAAACAAGACATTGAAAACAGTATATGTATCCTGTATTATCTGGTGATTGAGGGTATGAGAAAACAAGCCTTTTCATATTCTGGTAGTGGGGATGTTATATGGTACAACTTTTCTGTGCAGCAATTTATCTATATGTGTAACATTCTAAATATATACTATTTGATGTAGCAACTCTACTTCTGGAACATTATCATATGGAATAAATCAGAGATGTACTGCAAAGAGATAGGTTCATGGAACCTCATCACAAGCATAATTTACAAAAACTCAAACCAGAAACAGCCTAACTGTCCATCAATGGGGAATTAGATTACTGTAAAAAGCTTTACTGTGGAAGAAATCATAGTGACAGGAAAATAAATATGGACCTAGATATTACAATTGCTGTATGTGTGTATGTGATACTTTTGGGTATTTTGTGTTTTATAACATTTCTGCAACTATCATGTATTGTTTAATGACCAGAAGAAAATTATCTCTCCAAGTCACTTGATACAAATTACGTTAAGAAGCTTCAGGCATGTTCCTTTTCTCTATAGCAAAGCTACAGCAAAGTCTACAGACCTTAAATCAAACTGATGATCATTTTGCTTCTCTACACAATGGTTTTTTTTTTCTTAATTCAGGATATTATGCGGGTACAAACATTTTTGTTACATGTAATGAGGTTGCCTTGCCCAAGCCAGGGCTACAAGTGTGCCCTTCCCCCATACAGAGGGATCCGCTCCACCTCCATTAGCTGTGGGTTTACCCCCACCACCTCCTCCATCCCCAACTCCCTCACCCCCCCACCTGACCGGCACCCAGTGAGTATTACTACCTTGTGAGCAGCTTAGTGTTGATCAATTAGTACCAATTTGATGGAGAGTACATGTGGTGCATGTTTTTCCATCCTTGTGATACTTCACTTTGAAGGATGGGCTCAATCTCTATCTAGGATAGTATAAAAGGTGCTAGTTCACCATTATTTGTTGTAGTTGAGTAGTATTCCATGGTATACATATACGGCATTTTATTAATCCACTCATATATTAATATGAAAGTCTTTACTATCTGTTAATTTGGTTCAGAAAGCAATGGTACAAGTGAGCCAGACTAGACTCCAATTTTTCTATATCCCTATATTGCATTACATCTTCCTGGCATAATTAACTATTAAATGTGAGGACAGAATTTGTTAAATTAGGCTAAAATACAACAGACTTACATGGAAGTACCATATAGTTATAAACTTACCATTTTCTGTATACTCTAATAATAATTGTAGCTGGACACAGTAGTTGAGGTCCAAATTGGACTTTGATAATCTGCCCATATCAGGATCACTGTTACTTGGGACACCATGTATCAATGGACAGGAAAAGAGTCATGTTTATATTTAAATTTTATTTATTTAATGTGTTCACAAAAATTGACAGAAGAGTTTCAAAGTCTTATAAGTTCATATCAAAAGTAAAAGCACAAATTCCTCATAAAACTATAAAAGCTAGGATACAAATTTAGCATTTTAGCAGTCGAATAGCAAAATACATTCTTACTAACTGACCTTTGAGGCACAGAATATTTTATAAAATGTACTCATTAATTGCTTTGCTAGATTGATAAAATGGAGCCTTCTTAAGACTCAAAGGTAGGTTCTAGAGCTCAGGGAACAAATTAAAACAAAGAAACAAATTCTCTAATGTTGAAAAGACATACAATTCTGTAAATATGGCTGTTTTTCTAAAATCACCCATTCAAAATCATCTTCTTTCTTGCTCACTTTCCTGTTCTTTTATGCAAACAAAGTTAAACATTTTTTTTCTTCCATGTAAACATTTAGTTTTGGCATATTACTTATATTAAACAAATTCTCTAATGTTGAAAAGACATACAATTCTGTAAATATGGATCACCCATTCAAAATCATCTTCTTTCTTGCTCACTTTCCTGTTCTTTTATGCAAACAAAGTTAAACATTTTTTTTTCTTCCATGTAAACATTTAGTTTTGGCATATTACTTATATTAAACAAATTCTCTAATGTTGAAAAGACATACAATTCTGTAAATATGGCTGTTTTTCTAAAATCACTCATTCAAAGTCATCTTTCTCGCTCACTTTCCTGTTCTTTTATGCAAACAAAGTTAAACATTTTTTTTCTTCCATGTAAACATTTAGTTTCGGCAAATTACTTATATTAAAACTTACATAAGGAAAAAATACTTTCACAAGAAGAGTAAAAAGTTCAATACTGAAAGAATATATATGCTATTGAATATAATTCACTACAATCTCCCTGTTAACAGCAGACCTTTAGGTCTTCAGATGTTGAATGTTGCTCTTTTAACTTTCAGCTTAGAGAATCTCTCATTGAGTGAAAGTTTAGTCTGTGAAGGAAAGAAAAGCTGTAACTTTGGGGGCTTAGCAATCTTATAAAATACTCATGAAATTTGGTTACTAAAAATAGACAGGGATAGTTGGAGATAGATTCTGAGTAAGAAGTGGGAGCCTCTGAGTTTGAAGAAACTGCTATGTGACCCTAGAAGCATGAATTGGTTTGCCTGATCTCTGGTATGCCATTGAGGCCACCTCTTGGTTCTTATAGGGTAAATAGTGGCATTGAAGGGCATAATGGAAAAGCAGGGAAGAAAGAGTGAGTAGATAAGCTTCCACAGTGGAATGAGGGTCAGATTTACTTCTATGCATTGTAGATCAAATGTTTTGACTATGCCTAGGGAGTTGGTGATCTGCCTTATGAAGACAACCCTAGTGCCAAGTGACTTCCAATTGATTTTATTAGTCTACAGCCAACTGGAATACCTCAAAGATCACCCAAAACTTAATTTCCAGTTTCATCCTTATATAGACTACCACTGAGCCTAAGTTTCTTTCTCCACCTTCCAGAAATACCATTTCCAGCATCACCCCAAAACCTACATCAGAAACCAGATTAGTACTACTTTGAGGCATAAGTAGTCTATATTTATTACTATATATCACCTATTTTCCACTATGAGTCGTATACTTTTATGCAAAACACAATTAATCAAAACATGGATGGAATAGTGTACTCTGATTAATTTACCCTGTTGCTAATTGAAGGTTGACAGAAAATTTTTCTGGTTACAACTCCTGCTGTGAATATCTTTAAAAGTACATTAGTAAACTTTCTTGCTTTAATACACGGTCTGGTAGACATAGATGTCTCCTTGATAAGTGAGAATTATGTTGAGCCTTAAGGCCACCACAGATGTAAACATATATAGTTGGCCCTCTCTATCCATGGGTTCTGTATCCATGGATTAAATCAAAAGCAAACCAAAAATGTTTCTACAAAAAGAATGGTTGCATATGTACTGAACACGTACAGACTTTTTTCTTGTCATTATTCCCTAAATAATTTAGTATAACAACCATTTACATAGCATTTACATTATATTTGATATTATAAGTAATCTAGAGATGATTTAAAATATATGGGAAGATGTGCATAGGTTATATGCAAATACTATGCCATTTATATCAGAGACTTGAGCATCCATGGGTTTTAGTATCCAGTGGGGCCCTGGAATCATCCTCCACAGATACTGAGGGACAGCTGCAGTAGACTGGACTAAATCCATGTTCAACTTGAAGTTCATTTAAAAATAAGTAATTGAGATCGGTTTATTTTCTTGACCTTTGTGTCTCTCACAAAGGTTTAGCATAGGGAAGGGATTTCTTATGTATTAACGGTTCCAGATAGGTTCTGCTTAACCACATTTTTTCTGATACATAAAAGATACCTAAAATAGACATGAATTCTTTAACATCACGTGAATAAGTTTATTGCGCAATTATATTAAATTTACCTGATTGCCCAGTGCTTGATAGTTGAATTTCATGTCTATTCCTTTGGGCTTATACGGAGAACTCTTGGCTGTAGCATATTTACTTGTCAGGAATAAATCTCTAACTTCACGTTTCATGGATCTGTCAATTAAACATAGTATTTAATAAAAACATATTTGACAGCACTAATTAGATGAGCAATTTTGGATCATTCAACTTAACCTCTTTAAGTCTCATTTCTCGCCAGTTGTAAAATGAAGATGGTATATTTTTAAGAATCCTCAAGCTTCCTTTTAGTAGTAAGATTCCAAGTTCTGAATCAGGGAGCATTTGTGCAGCATTCAGAAGGATCAAATGCATGCATTAATCTAGACTTTTAAAAATATTTTTACTTCAAAATCCTTACATGAGTTTTTCTACTCTTTAAATGCCAAAGCAGTTTTTCTATTTTTAAAGTATTGTTATCCCTATAAGGATTTTGGAACAAAAGCAGCCATAGCTTCCATATATAGAGAAAATGGATTCATGGTTGCCTTGGGCTGGGGATAGGGAGAGGGAGGGAAAGAATGGGGAGTGACTACTAATGGGTATGGAGTTTCTTTTGGAGACAGTGAAAATGTTCTAAAATTAGATTATGATAATAGTTATACAACTGTTAATATACTAAAAGCCATTGAATTGTATACTTTAACTTGGTGAACTTTACGATATGAAAATTATATGTCAATGAAGTTGTTAATAAAAAAAGTAGCTGGAACACATGGATATATAGGAATTAATATGAAAAGGAGCCCAGCTATCAAAAATGTTCATTCTGCCCCATTACAGAGGTATGCAACATGGCAGAATGAAAATGAAAATACAAGGCCTCCTGTACGGTTGCTAGTGGGTCTGGTTCTTGCTTCACTTCATCTCATTATAACAGATCTTCATGTACATGTAAATAAACATTACAGAAAAATTTTTTAATGGGTGGATAAATATTTCAAGGGAATATGTTTATCATATGTAGTTATACTCTATCAGAGGAAGAGTACAACAAAAGCCCAAATGCCGTGTGGTTATCTGGATGTCGTCAGTTGAGTTGTTATAGTCAGTAGTTTTAAATAAGTCAGGTATTTTTTCACTTTTTTTTTTTTGGTCTGGCTATAAATATCGCTCCTTCTATGATCCAACTGTACCAAAACTGTGTTTGTTTTGGGAAAAAGGCAGAGAGTGCTCTGAGTAATTAAATAAATGTTTCCCAATTAATTTTTATTTGTAATTTCTCTTTCCTTTTCTTTATTTTCTCTAATGGCATACATCTGAGTTGGCCTAATCTAACCATATGATAAAAGCAAAAGGGGCAAAAGAGGAAGTCAGAATGATTCAAAGAGTAAGAAGGACATGACATGCTGTTGCTGGTTTGACAATGAAGGGGCCACATGAGAGGGAATTCAGGCTGCCTGGAGAAGTAGGGTGGCCCCTGGCTGATAGCCAGCAAAGAAAGGAAAACCTCTTTCTCACAACCCCAAGTGTTAGGTAGATAGCAAGTGACTCCAGGTCTCCTAGGGACGAAAGTGGGTGCTGCTGTGATTCACTCCTCCCACCAAATGGGCTTTCAGAGAGGCTCATGGGAGATCTACATGCACAGTAAGGCTCAGGTCATGCAACTCTCAACTGTCCAATCAGTGGTTCCATGGTGATGTCTGAACCACAAGGGAGGTCCCAATGTGGGGACTATAAAACAAGATGCAGACCACACCAGTCCCTTTTTTTGTGCCCTTCCATTTGCTCTTCCTTTGCTGCAACAATGAGTCTGGTCGTCATCTGTGGCGTATATATTATGCTGTGTAAACCTATATCTTGCTCCTGCTCTATAATTCTATCTTTCTCTCCTCAATAAATCTCATTTTCATGCTTGCCTAACTTTGGCATGTCTGGTCATTCTTCGGCCATGAGTCTGCCAAGAACCAACATTTCAGACTAAAACCTGACACAAGGAACTGAAATCTGCCAATAACTAGAATGAGCTTGGAAGCAGATTCTTCCAAAGAGCCTCCATATAAGAGGGCAGCTTGGCCAGCACCTTGATTTCAGCTCTATGAGACCCTAGGTGGAGAGCCAGCCAAGCATGCCTGTAAATCTGACCTGTGAGATAATAAATGGTTGCTGTTTTAAGTTGTTGTTTGTGGTAATTTGTTTAAGCGTCAACCAAAAACTATTAATACCCTAGGATTTTAGAGAATTTAACTTCTTTACTTATACTTGCAGAGAGACAGTATGGGAGAGTAGAAAGCCCCCAGGTTTTATAGCCATACAAACCAAATTTGAATATAGCTTCTATCATTTATTGGTTGCATGATTTCAGGGAAGTTATTATAATGTACTGATAAGGAAAACCCCCATCTATTACTTGGTACATCAGCCACCTGAGAATCCCACTCCTCACAGAAGACCTGCATCAGCATAATATTAACCTATTACCTGGTGCATCAACTAATCTATTACCTGGCGCATCAACATAATATTAATCTATTACCTGACACATCAACTAACCTATTATCTGGCCACAAATTAGCCACCTGAGACCCCACCCCTCGGGCTACCCCAACTTAATAAAAGTGGGAAAAATCGGGTAGACGGGGACCTCAGAATTTGTTGGTGAGACCCATCTGAGCCTGCCGCTGAATAAACTTTGATTTTCCGACTCTCTGTGTGCGGCTCAGTTTGTCCTCCAGATCACCCGCTGTAACACTTGCTGTAACAGTACCTTGCTGAGGTTTAGTTTATTCATCTGTAATACGGAAATGTTAATACTATGAACTAAAATAAAATCTTAAGGCTTCCCCCCAACCAGCTGACTGAATGGACCCCCTCTTGGCCCAGGGTATATCCTAAAACTGAATTATAGGCCATGAAGAGAAGGTCAGAAATGCTTCATCATGCCCCCTCTCTTCCTGTAGACATCCTTTTGTAACTCATTGAGGGGCCTAATAGTATGCAAGACAAACCTGCAAGTCCTCAATTTACATAAAATGTATATGTCTGGTGGCTTGTGTCTGATTAACAGACTTCCTTATCTTAAGACATTTCAAGCCTTTAGACAAGCTTCCTGTCTTTAACCAATTACAAGTCAAAGAGTCTTTAAACCCACCTATAACCTGTAAGCCCCCGCTTTGAGATGGCCCACCTTTTCAAGCCAAACCAATGTTTGCCTTCCATGTATTGATCTGTGACTTCATCTGGAACCCCTGTCTCCCTGAAATGTATAAAACCAAACTGTTACCCAGCCACATTGAGTCCACTCGCTCAAGGCCTCTTGGGTGTCACTGCGGACTGTGGTCCTCAAATTTGACTCAGAATAAACATTTTAAAATTATTTTACAGAGTTTGGCTTCTTTTCTGTTGGTGATACCTACTGCACAGGATTGTTGGGACTAAATTAAATCACAAATGTAAAAGTGCTTACTTAGCACAGTGCCTAGCACATAACATAGGCACTCAGTAAATGCCAGCTATTATTATTAACTTGCTTCTAGGTCCACAGCTCTTTTATTCATTTCACAGATGCCCTTGGTGAGGCCCATTTGAAAGTAATAGCATTCTTCCCTTTCCTGGTTGTGGATCTGAAAGGCTACACAGATGCTACTGATAGTACTGGTAAGGTTCAGGACATGCTGCCCCAGAATATGCCAGAATATACTCAAAATATGCTTCTTTTCCAGAGGATTTTTCTGAGCTAATTATTTTGACAAACAGCAGACACAACAGAAGCTTTGAAAACAGAGTAGAGGTTACCTTTTTGTAAGAGAAATGTACATCTTTAAAGGAAATCTCCACTTGTAAGGGTGTCTCCCTCACACACCGGGAAGCGAAGGATCAGCAACAAACTTTGCTCAAGTTTACTCCCTCCCAACCCCCTACCATCTCCTACAACTAGCCTTTCCCCACACCTTTCTTTCTTTGTTTCCAGGAGGATGGTATTTAAGCCTGAAGTGTAGCACAACTCTTTGAGATCTACTCTTGTGATTTACTCTTGGAGATTTCCTTGAATATCTCTCACATACATAGCAGGTATATAGGTGAGAAAAGAAAAAAACTTTTACCTGAAGAATGTGAGTCCTTTTAAATTATCAGGCCTGAGAGGTGTTAAAATGGGATGGCAATCATGTCCTACTCCTCACTTTGACCTATGTATCCATCTCTTGAAACTGTTTGCTATTGCCACAAGTAGCTATAAATTAACCTAATAATGCCACATCAGATGCTATAACACATACTGTATAGTTTAACAATGTATTTATTAATAGCTAATCACTAATCAATATTATTTCTGTAAACCAGTGAGAATTTCTGACAAACAACTTTGGAACTAAGATCATTTGGAACACTGGAATTTATTTAGCATGTCTAATATATATTATTATTAAAGAGCAGAAGAGTTTTAAATCTTAAGATTAAAAATGAGGAAAAATCTTCATGGCACTGAATTTTTTGGGAAGATAATTCTTGCATGCTTTAAGCAGAAGGGGTATAACATCAAGGCATTTATACTCACCGCAGGAAAATGATGCATGGAAATTTCAAAAGTAAAAATGAAATAAAGCCAAGTTGTTTTACTTCAGAATTTTCTGGTTCTGCATTAGGATTGTTTACAGAAGTTGTTATGAATTGTTCAGAGTAAGATTCTAGAGGGCCCCTGCTAGAAGTTATAATTATTCCTTTTTGTTTCATATTTTCCCCTAGGAATAATCAAATGCACTTATACAGATGTCTGTCTGCAATTACCTTTCAGAGCTTCTATCATTTTCATCGTAGTTGTGCTCATTTTCTGGTGTTAGCTAAATGAGAAAAGTTGAAACAAATCATGCAAAAGTCTTTCATCCTTACTCAGTACAAGGTGTTTATTGTCTATATTTAAAATTGACTCAACATTTTCAATGACAATATTCTCTTTGCTTGATCCTCAGTCTAACATTCAATTTAAGATTTTTTCACCACTATTCACAGATACACGAATGTCAAAGCCAGTGATTTGCTTAGAGATTAAGCAGTCCAACTCCTTCAAGTAACAGACAAGAAACTGGGATTCAGAACAATCAAATGACTTCTCCAAGGCCTTATATCTAGTAGTGACCCAGAAGAAAACTCTCTAAGATCTTGATGTTACCTGGATCCAAACACTGCTTGTCTGGATGTAGGGAAAAGATCATAGTTATAGATAAAATCTACAAAGGGTGTCCTCAAAATCTTTATATATAATAGGCCTGTGACTTTGACTATATTCAAGATAGCTAAGTGAGGTAGAAAACTGTATAGTCCCAATAACTTAATTTTAGAAAGTCTCACTTCTACTCCCATCAGACATTTCAGGTAAAAGTTAGAATTTTTCCAATAATTAATTTAAATCCTTTATTCCTGAAATGACTTTGTAAGTGACAACATAGGTTATACCTGCATGTGGTCAATGAAACAGATCAAAGCATAATCAAAGTATTATATGCAAATGTTAATTGGCCCAGATCACTTCATAACTGAATTGGTTGTAGTGCATCCAGTTATATGTAGCAGATGTTTGGGGTGGTCCAGCTATTTTTGCATAAAGTCCTAGCCATACAGTTTGCAGGTGGATTTGGTACTAAGAACCCTACAAATAATATAATAGCAGCAAGGAAGTCTGCAGAGCCAGTAGACTATAAAAGCACAATAACACATGTAGGTATTCTTGATAGTTAATGTTTATAGATCAAATATTATCTTATTAGAAAAGTTCATGTTCAGGTTGGAAGGACATATTAGTGTTTACAAATAAACATGCTGCTAAAGGCAGCCTTAAATTCAAGATGAATGTATGTCTAATGGCAATGTCTTCATAAGTTAAAGAGAGCCTCATGTACCCACACCCCATATTCTACTGGTGATATTAGTTAATAGTGACCTTGCCAAGAACTAAAGAAAGAGGAGGATGCCACTAGAATGGAGGGATAGTTTATATGGGAACCAGTGGCAATTATGGGGTATTATCAAGGAGTATAACTAGGTAATACAGAAGCCAGAGTAGTAGAAATGGCAATAGAAGCCATGGAAGTAGGGAAATGAGAGCAGGAACTAAAATTAGCAACTATTGGGAAAAATGAGTTTTAGTTAATGTGATTATTTCTAAAATAAATTGGTCAATAATGTTATTTCCCTATTTAGAGTCTTTCAACAGTTCTGCACTGCCATCAATATAGACTCCACAATGTGGATCCTGACTCTCTACCCCTCCACACTCACCTCTCAACAGTTCTGCCCACACATTTTACACTTGAGCTCAATGATGTTCAAACTATGTTTTGAAGTGGAAAAATTCTTCTAATAAAATCTTAGTTGGTATTCCAATATGCAAAATCTTTAAAAGCAAAGCTGCCTTCGTTGGCCCCTAGGCATCTCTTCACATGCCCTAGGACTCTGCAGTACACAGTTTGAAAATCACTGCAGTCGGGACAAACTAAGCTAACTGCAGCTTACCAAATGTGCCAGGCTCTCTCTCATTTCCGCACCTTTACACGTGTTGTTTCCTCTAATTGGAATGCCTTTTCAACCTTTCCTGCTTTGCTTACTCCTACTCAGCCTTTAAGAGTCAACTCAAATTCTATGACAATTGGTAAGCCTTCCCTGACCTCCCTAACTGGTTTGGGACCCCCCTTTCCTATACTGCCATAGTAGCTTGGACATACCTCTATCTCAGCATTTATACTGTGTTTTTATTATTTATTCATTACTGGGAACAAAGATTCTTTCTCAAGTACATAGCACATATCCGGTATATAATAAGTGCTCAGTAAGCATTGAATGAATAAATGAAATACTACAAAGAAGTAGAGGAAGAAGGGAACTAAGAAAAGGCCATTGAATTTTGTAAGAAGGAAGGAATAAAAAACTTTTGACAGGAAAATTTAGTAGAATGTTAGGACCAAAATCAGGGTCAAGAAATAAATGGGCAAACAGGAATGCCTATGAGGTTTTAACTGTATCTGGACGTCTATTATAGATTTTGTTCCCATTTAAAGAATATTAATATTTGCCCCCATATTCTCATGGGGATTTCTCACTTCACATTGGAAATCACTTGAATAATGACTGAACATATGTGTGTGTGTGTATATATATATACACACATACATAAATGTGAATCATATAAAACTAATTAAAATGTAAGAACTATTTTTAAAGCATGCATTTTTAAAAGTAATAACATTAATATGACCATAATGAACATTTGGTGATTATAATAAATAATTTGATATAATCATAATCATAGTAATGATAAAATAATAGAATTTCAATTTATATAGTACTTATTATAAGCCAATCTCTATCCTAAAATGTTTACATATATTTCAATTAATCATCACAACAACCTATGAAGTAAATATTCTTCCCATTTTATAGTTGAGAAATCAGGTTCAAAGAGACTTGCCCAAGGTTCTTCAGCTACTATGTTTCATCAAATCTGAGAAACCATGATTATAACATGCACTATTATCTTAAGAACTACTGAAAAGATTTAAAAGTTGTCAATTTAACTATGGATAAATGTGAGATACTTCCTAATTTCAGAGATGTTAAAATCTGAAAAAAAGGTGTGTCTGAGAATTCATGAAATACGACATTAAGTGGTGGAAATATGATTCCATCCAAGTGTCCCTAGTCATTGACCACTGCACCATAATGCTGAGAACTCTTTTGACATCTCATAGATGGTTTTCATTCTAATCCCTTCATTTTACAGGTGAAGAAAACAGAGATTGAGAGCAGGGGAAATGACTGGTTCAAGGTCATACACACAGGTAGTAAGTGGAATTGCTAGAAAGGAAAACTAAATCTCAGACCCAAACTAGTCCGCTTTACACTATGTCACACTGCCACTTAAGCTAGGTAAAAAGATATTGGAAAAGATATCCAAATGTCAGTGCAGGAATAAGTATAAGGTGTTTCATGTAGGAGCTAAATCTACTCAATAAAATATTTCATCTAAATGCTTTCATCAAACCTGTGTTCTGCATTGAAGATTGAAGTTTCCAGCAAAATAGACTTAGTTGGATTAATCAATATACTATTGACATCATTTCTTGCAATTGGCTGTTCACAGATCTTCAAGAAATAAATAACAAATAAAATAGGCAATGTCCTAGGGACACAATGGTTGTAAAACAGATTGTTTAAAATAACACATGCAGCCAAGTGTGGTGGCACATGTCTGTAATCCTAGCACTTTGGGAGGCTGAGAAAGGAGGATTGCTTGAGGTCAGGAGTTTGAGACCAGCCTGAGCAAGAGTGGGACCCCATCTCTACAAAAAATAGAAAAATTAGCTGGGCCTGGTGGCACATGTCTGTAATCCCAGCTACTCCAGAGGCTGGGGCAGGAAGATCGCTTAAGCCCAGGAGTTTGAGGTTGTAGTGAGCTATGATGACACCACTATGCTCTAGCACTGGCAACAGTGAAATCTTGTCTCAAAATAAATACATAAATAAATAAAATAAAAATTTAAAGAAAAGAAAATAATACATGCTACTAATAAGTATTATTTGTATAATCTTTGCTTACTTTTTCTAATGCCCACTTAGAAACTAAATAATATAAAGTAGAATGGGGAAATGGAAAGGAAGAAGGAAACTTTGCAAGCAATTATTTTATAAGGCTAGAAACATTTGACTCATGTGGAAATATTTGACATTATTTGTGGCTTCTTCATACATTGATGTCAATAAACAGGTTTTAAAACTTATTAAAGTAATAATCAGTAGTAGATTGCCAAAACTAAGTACTAGAAGAAACAAAGGCTGCAAAGGGAAAGCCCATTCAAATGAAAATGATACATAAAACCACACAGATGCTGAGTTATAAAGTTGAAAGTGCTGACACTTACCCCTCGGTTCATATTCATTTGATCATTTCTTTGCTCCATCTGTTTCTTGTAGTATTCACTCCTTTGATTCATCACAAAAGCCCTGATATTAATCAAAAAGGGTGAAAATTTAACAAATAATCTTTTACATTGAAAACAACTATTATTTCGAATGTGTCTTCCAGCCATATTCTTTTATTATACATATTTAAACATCTGACTTAAGACTAGACACTAGATGCAATTAAAATCCAGAATGGTGGTTTGATAAGCAATTTTCAGCTTAAGTGTGAATTATTACTTAACGCATGCATAACAACAGATCAGAAGTTAGCCAGGCATATGGTTGAACATTTTTGTTTAAAAATTTAGTTTTCTAGAAGTGACATAAGCAAGATAGCTGTTATGGACCGAATGTTTATGTCCTCCAAAAATTCACATATTAAAAAAATATCACATATTGAAACCCTACCCCCTAAAGTGATGACATTTAAAGATGGAACATTTGGGAGGTAATTGCATTTAGATGAGGTCATGAGGGTGAGGTGAGGTGTCTTTATAAGAAGAGTAAGAGATTGGAGCTCACTTGCTCTCTGCCATGTGAGGACACAGCAATAAGATGACCACCTGAAAGCAAGGAAGAGAGCCCTCTCATCAAGAACCCAACTGTGTTCACATCCTGATCTCAGATTTATAGCCTCCCTAACTGTGAGAAATTCCTGTTGTTTAAGCACCCCAGTCTATGGTATTTTGTTATGGCAGCCCAAGCAGACTAAGACAATAATGGACAGGGAGCTATGGGGCCTCCTTCCCCCAGTAGAGATAGCAAGTTAACAATAATATGTGAACCAAAATACCTTTGTGAGAACTATAGAGACCAGTTGAGAATCTACAGTACTCAGATCATTATAAAATCAAGGAGGGCTTCCAAGCAAAAGGGGTAGGAAAATTTGTAGCATTTGGTACACCCATCCATGCCCCTTCCCCTATGCAGCATGGGAAAACTCTACAGTAGGGCTCTTCCCTCTGAATGGAAACAAAAGAGTGAACCATTCATCCAACAGTCTGTCTTGTTTGGGGGTTGCCCAAGGGACTGGCTTCTGTCTCTCCTGACTCAAGGCACAGACAGAACTGGTACTAGAGTAGGGAAGTCACCAAAAACAAAGGTAAGTAGCATGTGAGAGCCAAATGCCAGGGGCAGTGAGAGATCAGAAATGGTTTGAGAGGTCCTAGAACCTTCAGTTAAGCTGATTGGTGAAGGTCTTTCCCCACACAAAGCTAGTACACAAAATTTGGAAAGGTGTTTGTATTTACAACTGCCCAAATTCCAGTGAAAATCTACAAAGAAGACAAGAAAATTGGAAATATGACCAAATCAAAGGAACAAAATAAAATTCCAGAAACTGACCCTAAAGAAATGCAAGTCTATGAACTTTCTGACAAATAATTTAAAATAACTGTCATAAAGAAGCTCAATGAGCTAAAAGAGAACACAGGCAACTACAAAAAAACTAAGAAAACGGTGCATGAACAAAATAAGAGTATCAATGAAGAGGTAGAAGGTATAAAAAAAGAACCAAACAGAAATTTGGAAGCTAAAAAGCACAGTAACTGAACTGAAACATTCATTTGTCAGGTTTAACAGCAGACCTGCTCAGAAAGAAAAAATAATCAGCATACTTTAAATGAGTCATTTGAAATCACTGAGTCAGAGATGCAAAAAGAAAAAAGAATGAAGAAAAATGAAGAAAGTCTAAGAAACTGACGGGGTATTATCAAGAGAGCCAATATATGTATTATAGGAATCCAAAAAGGAGAGGATGAGGGCGGGGAGAGCTTCTTTAAAAACTTCCCACATTTGAGGAAATAAATGAGCATACAGATTTAAGAAGCTCAAAAAACTCCAACTAGAATAAACCCGAAACAACCACAACAAGACCTATAAAATCAATGACGAAGAGAGTATCTTAAAAGCATCCAGAGAAAAGGGATTCATCACATACAAAGGAGGTTCCATAATATTATCAGTGGATTTCTCAGTGAAACTTTGCAGGCCAAAAAAGAGTGGGATGATATATTCAAACTACTGAAAGAAAAAACCTACAAGTTCATTACCACTAGACCTGCACTACAAGAAATGCTAAAGAGAGTCCAAGTTGAGATGAAAGGATAGTAGAGAGCAACATGAAGCTGTACAAAGATATAATGTTCTCTGGTAAAGGTAAATATATTGACAAACATAGTAATCTGTACTATTGTAATTTTGATGCGTTGAATTTATATGAAAAAACATAAAAATAACTATAAATGTGTATTAATGAGTGTACAATATACAAAGATGCAATTTGTGGCATCGATAACATAAAGTGGGAATGAGTGGAGCTGTAGTTAGGAGCAGGGCTTCTGAATGTAATTGAAGTTAAGTTGTTACTAGTTTAAAATAGAATGCTATAACTTTAAGATGTGGGAAAATCCCTAATGAATGCAGATATATAAATTGCTTGTCACAAATTAAACATATTTTAATTTTTTATAGCAAATAATGTGTATACTGCTAATATAAATAGAGTGAGACCTTTTGCATTAAAATGGTGCCTGCATCAGACATTGTCTAGATATGCAATAACCCATATGCACATCTTGGAAATAATTTTTTTTAGCTGAAATCAGCAATTCTGTGCAGCAGTTAATATGAGCTAAAATATTTGATTAGACATTTATAGCCAATGTAAACCGAGGGCAATCACTGGGAAATTCAAACTAAAAATAAATTTTTATTCAATAAACCAATAAATTGCAATAAAAACATCTTGTTTTTAAACTCAATCTACAATAATATTTAACTTACTCTGGTTCTTTTGCTAGGGTGGACAGAACTACCCTAACAGTTTTATAAGGCAACAGTGAATATATACAATGCTTTCAAAATATATTCAGAAGGTTAGTATTGCAAATATGCATAGAACAGGCATTCTTTCCTATAGTCTGATTTGAGGAAAGCAAAAAAGTTCAGATGCCCAAAGACACATCTATCATTTGTTTGCTAAGGACTCTCTGAGGACTCTTCAGGAAGGAGACAGAAGAAGGAAACACAGAAATTTATTATCATAGATTATATATTATCAACTTTTTAATAGCAGTTTGTTCTTAGATTAGCTTGCCCACCAGGTGGGAAGGTCCAAAGGGGATTAGACAATGAGTCAATATATTCTGATTGTGGGGGAAGCTCAGTAGGAAAGGCTGAGTACATGGGACTGTCCCAGGGAAAGCAGACCTAGATGGAACAACTCAATGGGACACCTTAGGAAACTGGATGATAACCAGAGGACATCAGAAAGTTGAGAGAACATTTTTACCATGTATATATTACCTCCATTCTATTAATATGTTTGTCCCCAAACATACCTGTTACAACAAATACATATTTAGCCATTAAAATATAGATATGTAAAGCATGCCTTTTCATTTCCATATCATTCAGTACATTGTACTGATGATTAAGGACTTGTATTTTTACCTGTAACATTCAGAATCATTTCTGGGTGATGTTTGGATTCTTCCTACTGGTGAGTATCTTCGATATCTCTCTGATTGGCCATGAGATCTTCCTGATTGACCATGAGATCTCTCTGAGTGACCATAAGATCTCTCTGATTGGCCACGATATCTCCCTGATTGGCCATAATATCTCTCTGATTGACCATAATATCTCTCTGATTGGTCATAGGATCTCTCTGATCTATCATAATATCTTTCTAATTGGCCATGAGATCTCTCTGATTGACCATAATATCTCTCTGATCGACCATAATATCTCTCTGATTGGCCACGAGATCTCTCTGATCGACCATAATATCTCTCTGATTGGCCACGAGATCTCTCTGATTGACCATAATATCTCTCTGATCGACCATAATATCTCTCTGATCGACCATAATATCTCTCTGATTGGCCACGAGATCTCTCTGATCGACCATAATATCTCTCTGATTGGCCACGAGATCTCTCTGATTGACCATAATATCTCTCTGATCGACCATAATATCTCTCTGATTGACCATAATATCTCTCTGATTGGTCCTGAGATCTTTCTGATTGACCATAATATCTCTCTGATTGGTCATGAGATCTTTCTGATTGACCATAATATCTCTCTGATTGGTCATGAGATCTTTCTGATTGACCATAAGATCTCTCTGATTGACAATGAGATCTCTCTAAGTGGCCTTGGGATCCCTCTGAATGGTGTTGATTTTCTTCTGGTTGGCCCTGAGATCCTTCACAATCATCTTGATTTCCTTCTGATTGATGCTGGCTGCCCTCTGATTGGCCTTGATTCTTCTCTGCTTGGGCCTTATAAATGTCATTGCACTCCTCCTGCAGAGAACCCCAATTATGCAAAACAAATGAAACATATACCTCATGGTTTGATTAAGTCATAATGATATATTCTCAAGACAACTTCTATAACTGTTTCTTTTAGAATTCCACTGTGCTAACTTTTATATATTAACCAGTTTTCAGAATTAACTTGCAGAATAGCTCTGATGTCATTGACATAAAGAATATTATGTACATAAAATTTAATAAAATAAAAATATGAAAAATTACTTCTTTTATAAGTTTGAATATATTCCACAGTCATATTCTACCTACCATTTCCTGGACCTATTGTTTTGCTAAATAAACAACAGATTCTGTGACTTTATAGTTGAGGAAGGATAGACTATTTAACAGTGTTTTGTAATACAAATCCTTAGGATCAAAGGAAAGTGTTCAAAACCATACTGTTTATTCTTTCTCTGCTTGATGATCATTGAAGGAAACTATTCATATCTTCAATATAAATTAATACTTAATTCTAGAGAGAAAGACAAAGCAAGTGAAGGGGAAGGACGATATAAGGGAGCATAAGGTTGGCTTAATACTATTAAAGTAAATTAGACTGAAAACAATGCTGCCTTTCTAAGTTTTAAATTTTTAAGCCAAAAGAGGAGTGAAGTGATTAAGCTAAGTGGAAATAGTGAAACCTCTGACAAATTTCTATGATGCTACATAAATGTAAGTGTTGATAAAGCCATATGGACCATGCTGAGAAATCAAGCTTTCTTTTTAGTAAATATTGCCTGACAAGGAAAACATGCCCTACATTTGGCATTATGACTTTCTAGTTTAACAATACCAGAAGCTGGAAGAAACTGTTAAGCAGCAGGAGAAACACCAGCATAAATAATATTATGCATAGAAAACTTTAATAAGAAAACTATGAAAAATTAGTTACTTTGCTAATGCATAAAGCCATAGCCACTCTCCAGCTTTTATACTAAAAAACCTAAGTAAGGAGATTGGGTGGAATGCATATGTACCTCTTCTCCTTTCTAAGTGACTAAGTGTTGGGAACACAGAAAGTCAAGAGGAAAGATAGAATTGAGACACATCTGCTAAGGGCCCATATGTACTCAAGTACTTTTCTAAAGAAGCTACAGTCCTTTTATAAATGTTTATATAAGAAATATTTTCATCAACTTGGATACTATAGATTTCCTATCTTTAGAAAATAAAATGCACATTAGTTTCCTATTATATAGTAAACTAGTAGACACCTTCCATCAAAAAGAATTGTGTTGAATAAATACAATTATGTTCTACTGATACTAAGACTAAATAGTGTGAAGTACAAAACTGGCGTATTAGAATTGCAAAGCATTACTGAAAACTGTAATTATTCAATTTATTGATAAAATAATTATGCTTAAATTTTAATATGTTTCTTTACCACAGGGTATTTTTTTCTGGTGAGTTCTGCTATAATGATAGTCTTAAAAGTTTCAAAAGTATGAGCAATAGAAGGATGCTTTCAGTTTGAAAATACTGTTTTACAACATTCTCAGTTCATTTATGCATCTTGGACTGTAGCAAAAGAAAGCTCATGTTCTTCTTTCCAAACTTTATCAAAAACCTTGTCATCCTACAAGGCACAGATCAAATACCATCACCTCCATCAAACTTTTTCAAGTCCCTCCAATCAGAATGAATAACTACATCCTCACAATATATAAACTATTAAAACACATACGGCATCCTGCTTGGCATTATATTTCTCTCTTATCTTTCTCTCGAACCACCACATATAATATTTGAAGCTGGCTGTTCTGGTACCACAGTTCTTGTACAGAGCATGAATTGAATCAATCAATATTTATTAAATTTAGATGAATCCTTCAAATATTTGAATGCAACATGTTCCTATCTAAAACAAACAAATAAATATTTGCATTTACATAATTTGGCAAAAATGGTTTAAGCTCCCAGAACTGTCATTTTTGCTAAATGACCACATAACATCTTAAGAGAAATCGGTTTATAAAGCCAGGCTAAAACATTAGTGCCAATGTTAGTCATAAATCTGAACATGAGCACCTCTTGGATTCCTGTCAGTGACTGGCTCACCTATACAAGTTTAGAGGTGATGGATTTGTATAAGTATGGTCTGTCCTGCTTGTTGGTCCCAAAGTATATTTCATATTCTATAGCATCTGACTTCTGGCTTTTACAATTCATTCACAAGGCTACTTAAACTGTTTTTATATTGTAAGTTAAGATCAAAGACTCTGTATAAGGACAAAAATAAGAATGATTATATAGGACACATCACAATAACCAATAATCTATTTTGGCATTTTACAAATTCAAGATTTCTAACAATGATTGAAAATAGCAAAAATCAGCTGATTATTAAAATAGTTATGGGTAAAAACAACTAATAAATATTGAATTTAAATTATGTTCAAGGCATCACTAAGAAACAATCCTTGCACAGAATTTAAAATAATCCTTAATATTAAGAAAAATATTAAATTTAGGACCTTTTGTATTGGCTAATTCTTAGTATTTATTTACCTGGTTAATTAAAGGCTGCCCATTTAAAGGGCTTTGTCCAGAATTGAATCCAGAAGGTTCTTGATGTGGTTCCTCATCATGATTTCTTTCTTCAAAGTTGTTTCCGTATCCTGAATATTCTTTAAAAAATAATTATTTTCTGTAGTTTCAGTCAGTAAATTTAACATATCTTTCAGGAGTATTATCTATGATCTCATTTTTAAAAGCTATGCACTGGGTTTTGTAAAACCTTTGATATTTAACTACTCTGATATCAACTGGGAGTCTTACTGAATTCTAGAACAGTTTTTGCCATACTATTTTTATTTGCATATCTTAATAGGGTAGTCTTCTCTGTACACAATATCTCAGATTTGGTTTCATATACCATCTAAGTTGGGACATGTTATCTGAAATTAATTGAAAGAATACTCCAATAGAAAAAGGAGAGAGAGAAAAACTATCTGTTGTGTATTAATCATGTGTGTTTGCCTCAATTGTCTTCTTTGCTTTGGATACTAAAGACAGCTTAAGAAACTATCAAAGAATATAGCTCTCCTAAAGACTCAAAAAATCAATTTTATGTTTGGGTAGGAACATAAGAATGGGCCATCTCACCATTCTTAATTGCTTTGCCCCTATAATAACCAACATCCCTTTGCTTTCTCAACAGGTTGAACCATGGAAGATTCAAACAAGGACTTTAATGAAGCTGAGTATGCAAATGGTAGAGTATGCCCAGTGTCAAGATAGTTCCTACCTGTTGACTAGACCATGAAGACCCTTAATTGTTGAAAAGACTTCCCAACTGTGGCAATCTGCAGCATATTTTCATATTAAAATATGCACACTGCACTGACCCACAAAGTTAAGGATACAAAGGACTTTCTTTATGTTTTTCCCCCACTCTCTTTGGCCTACAACATTCTTTTTATTTTCCAAAATGTGGATGCCATGGTGCTCAGATTATCGACCATGCTCTTAACCCCACTGTATTGCCTTCTAAAAGTGGAGCTGGACTAACCAGCCCAGGCTTGTAAATAAGTACAAAGCATTTCTCAGCCTATATGATTACTTTTCTTATCCTGCCCTCATATAAATAAAAAAATACTCATATAAATTAAAAAAAATTTTTTTCATTTGACATGGCATAAATTCTTACCAACCCTGTGTAAGTCCATATCCAGGAAAAATAAAACAAGCAACATAATACAACTTTAGAACAACATTGCAAGTTCTTGAATTTGCTTACCTAGTTATTCACAAATATTTCAGAATCTTTTTACCACCCTTGATTTTTTAGTATACTTTACCTCTCTGCTCCTGGTGCCTAGGAGAGCTTGACTGCCATCTTGAATCCGAGTTATTTTTTCTATGGTTCTGTTTCTCATTCTTTATTTCTTCAGTGCTTGCGTTTCCTATCTTTCTGAGATTTATAATTTCATCTGTATAAGAAATATATAAAAGTGAAGAAAATGGAAAAAGCTAAATAAACACAATGTGTCTCAAGCAAATAATCTATATTCTATCTCATCATATTTCAGAGCACTTAAAAATTGGTAACCTTAAAAATGATATTATAGGTCCTTGCCTGCGAGAGGGGCCACTGTGTTGGTGCTCTGGGGCTTGGACCCTGGCTAGCCAGAAAATAAACCTCCTCTTGTGTGATTGCATCCTTGATGTCTCTGCTTTTCTGTCCGGTGGGGCTGTGGAAGGTCGGTCCCTAACATCTGGGGGCTCGTCCGGGATTTGCCTTCCCCACAGACTACCGGATAGAACTCAGGGCTGAGGGAGGAGTGTGAAAATCCACCCCGGACTAGCCGGGTGTGGTGTTGGGCAAGGGACGCAGAATCCCCTTGCAGGACCCTGGATCAGGACGCCGGCACAGGACCTAGGCGGACGCGCTGGTGGGTCACCGGTCGGAGCCAGGCGGAGACGTCCTCTGGCCCTGTTGGGACTCCGGAGCTGACCTTGTAGCCTAGGGCTCGGTCAGGAGGAGCTGGAGCTGACCTTGTAGCCAAGGGCTCGGTCAGGAGGAGACCGGGGAGTAGGTTCGGACCAGGTTAGGTTGTGTGTTTACCTCACTGTCTACTTGTCTGTTGTCTGCTTTGTTTGTCGCCGGCTGTGTGTGTGTGTGTGTGAGTGAGTGTGACATCTCTCGTTGGCTTGTTGGAGTCTCTGGGTTCTATGGTTTCAGCCCGAGAACCCATCAGGGTTGCATGGGTTTTCGGGCTGGGGCCGTGGAATCAGGGGACCCACGAAAAGATCCGCGGGGGCGACTAGAACCTCCAGGTGAGTATTCCCCTGCAGGGGCTGGCAGCACACAGTGTATCTCCTGCCGCCCGTGCCAGGAGTGGCTAGTGCGGGAGGGGCACGGCCGTTACCTCCCTAGGGAGTGTGAAAGGCTAGGGATTCAGATCCTTGTCCCCAGGGCCCCAACTGCAGAATATCGGTTTGCACATCTGCCTATTATCGGCTAGCCATGGGACAGGCTCTAACAACGCCGTTGTCCATCCTGGTGAGCCATTTTAAGGATGTCAGGGCAAGGGCACACAACCTGTCCTTGGAGGTCAAGAAGGGAAAGTTTGTTACCCTTTGTGAGGCCGAGTGGCCCACGTTTGGAGTGGGGTGGCCCAGGGAGGGCTCGTTTGATGCCTCCTTGATCGAAAAGGTAAAAGGGGTGGTATTTGGCCACCACGGCCAGCCTGATCAGATCCCCTATGTTGTGGTCTGGCAAGACTTGGTTCTAGACCCGCCACCCCGGATGAAGGCCCTCCTACCTGCCCCGAGGGGAAAGGCGGAAGTTCTGGCAGTTAAAGAAGTCAGAAAGGACAGGGCACGGAGTCTGCGGTCCCTTGGGACGCCAGTGTTGCCAGAATCCAATTTCTACCCAGACCTAAAGGCGCTCCCTCTGAGGGCAGTGGGATTCCCGGGAGAGGATGGAGCACAGACATACCAATACTGGCCCTTCCCTACTAGTGACCTCTATAATTTGAAATCTTAAAACTCGAACTTCTCCGAGAATCCGAGAAACCTAATTAATCTTTTAGATTCTGTTCTTTTTACTCATCAGCCCACCTGAGATGATTGCCAGCAGTTGCTTAAGGTGCTCTTCAAAGAGAAAGGATTCAGGGGGAGGCGCGGAAGCTGGTTCCGGGGGAGGACGGCAAACCTACTACAAACCCGCGAACCATCGACCAAACTTTTCCCCTTGAACGGCCGCTTTGGGACTACAATGAGGCTGAAGGTAGGGCGTCTCCGGGTCTACCGCCAGACTCTGATGGCCGGTCTCCGTATGGCGGCGCGAAAGCCGACCAATTTGGCCAAGGTAGGAAATGTTCGTCAGGGGCCAGAGGAGAGCCCGGCAGCATACTTAGAGAGGATCATGGAGGCCTTCCGGCAGTACACCCCCATAGATCCCACTATGGAAGAGAGTAAGGCAGCTGTTATGATGGCGTTTGTTAATCAGGCAGCCCCAGACATCAGGCGCAAGGTAAAGATAATAGATAGATTAGGCAAGAAGACTCTGCAGGACCTGTTAGAAGTGGTGGAGAAGGTCTATAACAATAGAGAGACACCAGAAGAGAGGTTAGAGAAGATCAGGATAGGAGATAGGAAATTCCAAGCTGGGGAAGCATGGAAAGCAAACAGAGAGATGGCTAAAATCCTGCTAGCCGCCACAAGAGGGGGGCAGATAGGGTCAGAGGATAGGGAAAGGCCCCGGCGAGAGAGGCTAGGAAGGATCAATGTGCCAATTGCAAAGAGCATGGACATTGGGCCCGAGAGTGCCCCAAAAGAAAGGGGGGGGGCGAAGACTTGGAGGTCCTGAAAAAGTCATGGTTGCAGGACAGGTGACAGACGAATAGGGAAGACGGGGTTCGGTCCCCCTCCCCGAACCTAGGGTAACTTTGCAAGTGGAGGGGAACCCAGTCAGCTTCCTCATAGATACAGGAGCAGAACATTTGGTACTAACGGAAGACACAGGAAAATTGTCCAGTAAGACCAGTTGGGTGCAGGGGGCAAGAGGAGCCAAACTATATCGGTGGACCACATGGCAGAGATTGGATTTGGGTTCAGGAAAAACTCACCTACCCTGTTCAACAAGGCCCTCCATGATGACCTTGGGTTTGCGGAAAAGGCTCCACCTCTGTATGAAGGGCGTAAGGCGGGGCGAGCATGGGAGTGGTCTGTGCAAATGGAAGACACTTTTCAGGCCCTGAGGGCAGCCATGCTGGAAGCCCTGGCCCTAGCACTCCCTGATCCTACAAAAGAGTTTCACCTGTTCATAGACGAGAAGAGGGGAATAGCCAAGTGGGTACTCACGCAGGCCCTGGGACCCTGGAAGAGACGGGTGGCATACTTGTCAAAAAAACTAGATCCGGTGGCGGCGGGGTGGCCAGCGTGCTTGTGAATCATCGCAGCCACGGCCCTGTTGGTCAAAGACGCTGATAAGCTCACCCTAGGGCAGCAGCTGCAAATCACCACCCCGCACGCCATAGAGGGGGTTCTGAAGCAGCCACCAGGATGGTGGATCACAAATGCGAGGCTGACTCATTACCAAGGACTTTTGCTGGATGCACCCCGCATCGAGTTCCAGGCCCCTGCCGCCTTGAATCCGGCTATGCTTCTGCCAACCCCCGATGCAGCCGCACCTGAACGTGATTGCCTTGAGATCCTAGCCGAGACCCAGACGACCCGTAGAGACTTGAAGGATCGCCCCCTTCCAGGTAGCGACCTGACCTGGTTCACGGACGGAAGCAGTTTCATCCGGGACGGACGCAGGTACGCAGGGGCGGCCATAGTAGATGACCAAGGTAAACTTATCTGGGTGGCATGCCTTCTGCAAGGGACATCTGCTCAGAAGGCAGAACTAATAGCGCTGACGGAGGTTCTTAGCCGGGCCCGAGGAAAAAGACTGACGGTGTACACTGACAGCCGCTATGCCTTTGGGACTGTGCACATACATGGGGCCCTCTACAGGGAAAGGGGCTTCATCACGGCAGAGGGAAAGGAAATTAAGCACAAGCCTGAAATGCTCCACCTACTGGAGGCTGTTTTGCTGCCAAAGGCAGTGGCGGTAGTCCATACCCCGGGACACCAGAGCAGGGATTCAGTGGAAGCACGGGGCAATCGGAGAGCAGACGCTAAAGCTAAAAAGGCTGCAGAAGGCACTCCGCAGCCAAACATCCTGCACCTTAGCCTGCCACCCCCCGGGCATGGGACAGTTGCCTCCTCTGCCGGACTATTCCAGTGTAGATGAGGTCTGGGCCTCAGAGCAGCTACGTGAAGATGGCTGGTTGAGGGACGAAGGGCATCGCCTAATAGTGCCAGAACTCTTAAGATGCCACCTGTTAGAGCACCTGCATCAGACCACACATCTAGGGAAGAGAAAGATGCTACAACTGCTGGACACTGCTCAACTAAGGTTCAAGTCACAAGGGCGGGTTCCAGATGACATCGTCAAAAGTTGCCGAGCCTGTCAGGTCATGCACCCGGGGAGGACCAGAGGACCCACGCAGGTACGAGGGAAAGGGGGAGGCAGCCAGGACTATTTTGGGAAGTGGATTTCACTGAGGTCAAGCCTGGAAAATACGGGTACCGAAATTTACTGGTCATGGTAGATACGTTTTCCAGATGGGTAGAAGCCTTCCCTACGAAAGGAGAAACAGCTTTGACAGTAGCTAAGAAAATATTAGAAGAAATAGTCCCCAGGTGTTGACTGCCGGAAGGGATAGGATCAGATAATGGACCTGCGTTTGTTTGTCAGGTTAGTCAAGGGCTGGCCCAGGCTATGGGGATAGATTGGAAATTACATTGTGCATATAATCCCCAGAGCTCTGGGCAGGTAGAGCGAATAAATAGAACAATAAAGGAGACCCTGACTAAATTGGCCCTAGAGACTGCGGAGACTGGGGACCCTCCTTCCCTTCGCCCTTTCGAGCCGAACACCCTTAATCACTTGGTTTAACCCTTTTGAAATCATGTACGGCACACCCCCTCCTGTAGTTCCTAGATGAGACTGAGGCTCTTCTGGGACATCCCAAAGAAGTGTTACAAGCGGTGCAGCTCTGCAACGTGTCCACAGTCAAGCATGGCCGGCCCTCCATGCTATCTACCGGTCTGAGGAGGAGGGTGCCGGACACCCGTTTCACCCACACCAGCCGGGGGACTGGGTGTGGGTGAAACAGCATAACAACAGAACCCTCGAGCCGAGGTGGAAGGGCCCCTATCAAATTATTTTTGTTATCCCACTGCTCTTAGGTCGATAGAATAGTAGCGGACCTGGCTACACCACTCCCACGTGAGACCTGTTAATAAAAAAGACCAGGAGCGGTGCCAGGACCAGTGGAAAGCAACTGCAGACCCGAAGAATCCTCTGAAGACCAGACTGACCCACGTGGCGGACAGCCCAGGAACTGCTGACCAGACTTGGACTGGGGTTGTG